CACCTCCAACTGATGGGGGGGGCGGAGAGAAGAACAGCTATAACCGATGTATTTAACAGCCACTGTTGACTAATGATACACTAATCAGGCATTGCCTGTGTCTCACCCTATTTTTCAGTGTTTGGGGTATGATGGGCCAATTCCAATTTTAAGAGAGTATGAGGTTTTTAGTGATCTAATGTGAGGAAAAATGTTTCCATCAGTATTTTTGAACAGAAATATAAGAAATCACACATATATCAGATTTCTTACTGCTGGAACAGTCAGAGCTATAAAAATTGTCAACATGGAGGCCGTAAATGGAACAGAAGGGAAACAGAAGGGAGCTTATACTTAAAAACGGCATCAAATGTAGACCTCTTTGATCGGTTTACTGATTAAACTTTTTTAATTTTGCTGCTTTTTAATATCCTTTGAAAATTTTGAAGCCTATTCAGAGTGCCAGTCTCCAGTTATATCACTTTTTAATCGATTGATTACCTCATAACTAATACTTAGAAGTTGCATTTTTCTAGATAGAATTAAATGTGGCATAATTTGTATGTATCCATGTAAAAAAAGAAAATCTGTGAATAGACCATCTATGCTCCAAGTAAAGGAATGATCCAGGGATTGAAATTTGAGCCGGTTAATGCTGTCTTCTTTCTCCGACTCCAGCTCTTCGGGATGGCCGCAGGGGTAGAACAAATTATTAACCGAAGCTGAGAAAGGAATAGTAGCAAGAGGAAGTGGGGGTGGCTCTACCATAACTAAGGATGGAGATGTAGGTGGAAAGCTATATAAAAAAAAACACACAATCAGACAAAAGGACCACTTAGGATAAAGGAATTGGGAGCAAAGACGCTTAGATGAGTGAGTGCAGTGCTTACTAAAAAACCTCCACTGCTAGCCAGGATAGGCAGAGGTCAGCATGAGTTATAGGAGAGACGAAGAAAATGAAGGAGCGCAGAGTGAGAGTAAAGAAGGGGTGAGCATGAGATGGGGGCGCTAATGTGAACCAGCTGTAGAAACCTGACACCTCAAGAATGGGTTAGAAAGAAGAGGTGGAGGAGTGAGAAAGAGAAGGAAAGAGGGCCTGCAAGGAAACTGCAATAAACGTAGAGAAAAGAAGAGGGGGGGGAAAAATCCTCATGAAGTAAAAACAAAGGAAGCCATAGAGTGAGAGGCAGCACAGTCTTTCTCTGTTGGGCTGTTTCATAAAAGCAGAGGGTCTGGTTTGTAAAGGTTTCTGTCCAATGATTTGTGTGAAAATATTTGACTTGGTTTTATGTTTAGAAATATTTCAAAAGAATCACATTGTGACCTGTGTTGTTTTTAACCACAGTGTGTGTGACAGAGTATTTGGTTAGAGCTTCCTCCGTGAGACACCACTCCCTGACAATAATGTGAATCATGCACAGCCTTGTCTGTTTGCCTCGAGCTCTAGTGATACAGCCAGCGGCTAATAATGAGCTCTCTATCTGGTAGCGAAACCTGAAGGACAGGGTATCGCTTCCTGACGCCACTGCCTTTAGCTCTGTCAACACTGGTTAGATAGCAGCGATAGAATTTTAATAGAGCCTACCATGCATCTTTCCTGTCACCACTTTGAAATTTCTACAAAAAAACAATCTTTGACAGGCAGCTAATTCTTGACAGGTGGAGCTGAGTTCAAAGAGACTCTCAGAACAGATGTTATAGCAGTTGAGTGGCTCTGCTCTCAGAAACAACACATAAAAGATGTAATAAATCACCATCTAACTAAAAGATTTCAACATTTAATTTTATATATCTCATGAGGTAATTAGACTTTTTGGTCTGTGTTACCCTTTGTACTTTAAGACGGAGAGGAAAATGTTCCCAGGGAAAGGTAAACGTTACATTAACTAGGACACGATTTTCTATGTGTGACAATCTGCTGATGTGATATACGTTGCAGGGCAAAAGGCCGTGTCATTACTCTAGCACAGGGGGCATGGAGGTGACCCGAACAAAAACTAGCCAGCTTTATTCCCAGGGCCGCCGTCTTGCTGCGATATCATGACCAAGCTGTGTTTGTGTTTACTGTGGGGAGTCAGACTGGGGAGGAAAGTCACTGTTTGTTTGTGTGTCGTCTTGAATACTCAAGTGTGTGGAGGAGTGGTTGATACAGAGAAGTTGGGAGATTGACTGTGACCATGTCTAATCTGCACTCTGTCTTCTTTCTGAAGATTTCACATTTCTAATTTATCATCTTGTCTGCCTGTTTACTGACCTCACAGCACTATTCACGTACATCAAATCACATATCCCTCATCGCACATCTAATCTTGTTGTTTAATTATCATCTGGAGGTCAGCAAAAAAAGAAAATGCAAAGAAAATGAAAACGATGAAGCCTGTGTTTTGTCTTGCATTTTCCTTTGGTATTTATGAAGTAATTTAGAACAATTAGGACAAAGAAAGCCTGTGGGGTTTGCTAACACATCCAGATATATGGATATTTTGAATCAATGTCAGTAATACAGGGAATTGAAAAAAGTGTTCTGGTTCATCAGGAAAATAGGAGACCATTTGCTAAAGAGAATCCATTTAAGGTGACTTATGTCAGTCTGTTAGATGGCTACGACAAAACACTTGCTTTTAAGAGGTTGGGAATCCTAACTTTTTACTCAGTTCCTCAACCTTTAGCTTATTAAATAATGTATTTGGTTTATTGTAATCTAAATATTATCCTTCAGAGGACGTATATTTCACCTCAACTTGATTTTGTTTACAAATGTAGTTAACAAATCCCACTCTGCAGGGACTGGAATTTATAGTTAACTTCCACCTAGTTTTTACACTAATTTCCAAGTTCAAAATTTCTGTTTTCAAATCTCTCATAAAGATCAGATAATTTGTGAATATATTGGTGAAACATGCACACATGGGCATGAACAAATGTGAATTTGCTTTTCAGCCAAAGCCTCTTTCCATTCAGTGAGGTCTGACATGCATCTGGGTTTTAAGTTTTTTTTTAGTATTCTAAAATGTGCTGCAGATGCCTTTAATGAAAGTATTAGTACTCTTCCCATTAAAAACTTAAGGATTTATAAGATTATCCTGTTTATAGATCAAGAAAATGTTCCTAAACCTTTCAGAATATTTATCATACTCGAACAAGTTAAGTGAAGTATCTGTTAGGATGTTTAGAAAATATATTTTTTTGTTTAATTTCTGATAACTGTTAAAAATAAACAACAAAAGAAAAGTGTCAAATTCCTGTTTCTGGCTTGTTTGCTGGTGCATCTCTAGCCTAAAGAGTTTCACTCCAAAAATATGGTTTTCCTTAGTCTGCTTATATGTCAGTGCCTTTGCACACTGCATCTTTAAACATGCTCAGTTAGAGTGGGGCTTTACTGTCAGTTGTTTTTTAGTTGAGGAGAGTTTATTTGTGACTCACACACAGAACCAGGCAGAAGTTTCTAGGATATGATCGATCTGTGAGCCTCGGGTTTGACGTGATTCATAACGCCCCTCCTTTCCCATGCGCTTACAACCTAATAGCTTCAAGCTGCTTTGGGGTGGAGCAGCAATTTCAAACTATAAGTTATGTGTGAGACTAAATTTAAGACAGTTCTCCACTCCACTACCTCATTTAGACATTACAGCAATGTTTTCTGCTTCTCTTCCTTCTTTTCTTAAGTTTTTTTTGTGATATGGTTTAATATGGAGTGTTAACATTCCCGTGTATTAGTCCCTGCGACATGGATCTCTGTGCCCTGTTGTTTTACCTCGGCTCCTCTTGGGAGGAAAGTTTAGATGCCTCTATAAGAAGCAGCAGGTTGCTCTGTCGCCCACGGTCCCCAGGCAGCATGTCTGCCATGTGCCTCTGCAGACACAAAGATGACGAATCTATGCAGCTTACACAGGAAACTACCTGACTACAGACATTTTTGTCACTAACAGTATACTATCTCTGACCAAAAACTGCCTTGCATAGAGAAGTGATGAGTGAGAGTGGGAGTGACTGAGAAAAAACAGAGGAATAGAAAGTCACAAAGGGAACATTGTGCCAGAAAAGATCCCTAGTGGACATATTGTGCAAGAGTATGTCTCCAAGCTTTGCAATATGTGGAGGAAAAGCTTTGCTGAAGCAGAAAAGGAAGTAAAAGGAAAGGGCTGATGAATACAATTTTTGAAGTGCAATGAGAAAAAGACACCTATGATGACCTTGGTTGAACCGAATATATTATGCAGAATAACTTAACAATAAGTGTGAAAATATTTGGATTTGTACATTGTCCGTTTTACGCTACTAACATTTCTTCTTTTGCTTTTCTGTCAGGCATTGCCAACAACTTCCATATAACCTTACATAACATCCTTCTGCTTTTTAACTTCTCCTTGTCCCATGACCCTGGTTTAACCCTTCCACGGTACCAGCCCTCTTGGTTTTCTCTGAGTTAGATTCAGGGGGCAACAGCTCTGTGTTCACGCTCCTTCCTGTAGCACTTTTAGGATTAGGATGTCTGTCAGCTCCTTCTGTCATAGTGGAGTGGATCAAGGTTGAATAAAAAAATCAAACTGAAACCGTCTGAATAACTTAAAAAAAAAAAACAATCAACTCTTAAATGTTCAAACTACCTGATAACCACTTTCTCTTAAGGAACAACCACACATTTTGCTAATTTCTCTTATAGGGATGTGGTTCCCCACATACTGCTCTTTAGGTCACTTTGTCGCAGCAGAAAGCAATTAGACACTGGTGCACTTTGATGTGTGCTGTAGAGCAGGATTTGTTTTGCAGATGATACTTGCAGCACTTGTTAGCAGTTGTCTGATGTGGTGTACTACATCCACCTAAGTGAAACTCACTCTTGTTGTGTCTGTTTGCGTCTCCTTAAAGCACTTAAGCACAATTGTCAATTTTTTTCAATTCACGTTTTTCTTTTGGTTGTTGCCGTATTGTCTGCCCTGAATGCTGCTAACTTCAAATTCCCTTGTGGTTTTGTCCATTTGATAGCTGATTTCCATGTTTTTTTTTTCATGTGGCCACAGGTGTGCTCAAGGCTTTTTGGGAGAGTACTGTCAGTACAAGGACCCCTGTCACCCAAGATACTGTCGGAATGGGGGGGACTGTTCTGTTTCCATGTCAGCTGGCGGGCCCGTTCCCGGTAGCGCTTTCTGCACCTGCCCTCTCGGCTTCACTGGACAGTACTGCCAAACTCCCAAGAACTCCACTTGTTATCCCAACAATCCCTGTTTAAACAAGGGTACCTGTACCCTGCTGTCGCTTGACAAGTACAAGTGTGAATGTAGCAGAGGATGGACAGGTAAGATGATGTTCACTAACCTTTTTGTTCACCTCATACAACTATTTGTTAAAAGAAAACCAACCAGTGAAAATTTAATTGTATTACTTGTTTTGTGTAGTTTCTGGACCTTGATTGAGTTAATTGTTTTTTCTATTTTGGTGACAGTGGCACAGTTCCTTTCATAAGAAAAACTTATATTTTATTTTCAGCTTTTTTATTTGGCAGTGTCTCAACATTTCACTAAAAGAGAGGGGCCTATGAAGTAAAAAAAACAAGGACACGTTTAATAAAGATCCAGTTCAGGAAATTCCACCAAAGATTTTGAAAAGGCTCTGATTGCCTAATCTCTTGCATTTCCCCCCTAAATGTCACAGTGCTGAGTCATATTAGGATCTGACTGTGAGCATGACGATTATTTGTTTTCTTTCTCATCGGGCCCATTAAGAGGCATTCCCCCAGTGTTGCCCATTTTCACCAATTTTATCAACCTATTAGTTAAATATAAAGTTATCCAAATCTCAGGAGGAACTCTAAAACTTAAATTTATGTGAACCACTAATGGTTACACATTAGTCATCGGGTTGTCAAAGATTTTTTTAGCATGGCAATAGTTAGTAAAAGTACATAATAACATTAATAATAACATTAGTTAGAAACTTGTACGTATTAAAAAAAACAAAAACGACAATAAATTACACCCATTTCTGGTATAACATTGATTATAGGAGCTATAACGATTCGCATTATTGGAACATCAATAAACTTTAATTTTTTATTTTCTCCTTTTAGAAAAAAACATTGAATAAATACATGCTACATGTAGCTATCTTCAAATACAATCTGTTTTGTTTCTGAATGTTGAATATTTTTGCTGTTGTCCCCTTTGTAGAGTAGAAATAGTCTGACTATATACAGGGTTTCCGCGGGTCATTAAAAATTATTTAAAGTCATTAAATTATTATTGTCTAAATTAAGGCCTTTAATTGGCATTAAAATTCATTAAATGTATTTCCGTAAAAATTCAAAAAATGTATTTAAATGTATTTATTGTGGCATTTTAAATTGCTTTATTCAAAATAAATGTTTATAAAAACAATTTCGTCAGACATATCACGATATAATTGCGTTGAACTGCTTCCTGTTGATCGCACAGCTGTATGTTCAGAAAAGAAGCTTGAGTCGAAGAAAAAGCTAGAGAATGAGGGGAAAAAAGCTAATTTCAACAAAAGTGGTTGGAAAACAAGGAATTTGGCACCTGGCTGCAGCCTGTCGACGGGTACCTGTTGGTGGCATTAAAATTATTTCTAAGAGCATTAAAAAGCATTAAATTTGAGTTATTAATTCCTGTATAAACCCTGCATATAACATTGCCTCTTAATTATTAGGCAGTGATGATTCTTTTAGCTTATTAACTGTAGTTTTAAACAATCATCTTATTGAAACAGTGGAAGGTGCTTTTGTAGGATGCACACCATTACTGCCTGATGGTTGTGCCCAGAAATATTTATTTCACCGTTTACATGTTAGTGAAAATTCCTAACAATCTGCCTGTCTTCTAAGCAAAGGAAAAGTGTGGCAGCTTTCTATAAGCAAATTAACAAACAGAGAGCAGCTATACTGGTTCATGCAAGAGAAAAAACAGCCTGTGCAGCTTTTTCCAGCTGTCGATGAGAATGACTTAAACCCATGTGAACAGTATGATAGTAACAAACTTGGTTTGTATTGTTTAACACCAATTATTTAAGCCCTAAACATCTGGTACTATTCCTGGTCTCCTGACAGCTAAGGTCCTAGTGTTTTTCCCCCTCAATCCCCAGGTCCACGCTGTGAGCATGAGGACAGCTGTCTCTCCAGTCCCTGTGCCAATGGAGGAAGGTGCAGCCCTCTGCCTGGTGGCAGCTACACCTGTTCCTGTCCTCCTGGCTACAAAGGTCCGCGCTGCCTTAACGACACAAATGAATGCGCAGACACACCCTCTCCCTGCCAGAATGAAGGCGATTGTGTCAACACCCCTGGCTCTTACAAGTGAGTTTACGGTGATCACATGTGAAAAAATGTTGCTACTTCCAAACATTTCTACAGAAGAAGTAGCAGATTTTTTTCAGTTGAGATTGAAAAAGTTGATTAAATGAAACTGACTCTGCCTTTGCTACAGGTGTATCTGTAAACCAGGGTTCACCGGCACCAACTGTGAGAGTTCATACATCCCATGCTCACCTTCACCGTGTCTCAATGGGGGCACCTGCCAAATGCCCACAGATACCACCTACACATGCCACTGCCTTGCAGGTGGGACAATTACAGTAGTGTCACAGCGAATGTAAACAATAAACCTACACAAACACACTCAGTGAGGTGTAAACATGAGAAGCAATAAAATCTATTAGAAAATTGTAACACTGTGGCTTGTATAGCAGTAATTGTAGCACTTTAGTGTTTAAATCACAAACCGCTTGATCTAGCTGTGTTGTATTGGAAACTTAGGAGACGGTTATAGTTAGCTGGTGGAATCAGCTAACACATATATTTAATGTTTATACTGCACCAGGACATGTGTTCAAACTTAATGCTAGAATAAATTTACACAACAACTGTTTGTCTGACATAATGAACACACCATTCAAACTATGAGCACCATATTTAACAGATAATTCTGTATTTTACTTATTCTAGGTTTTAATGGAACAAACTGTGAGAACAACATTGATGACTGTCCTGGCCATCAGTGTGCCAATGGAGGGACGTGCATAGACGGCGTTAATACCTATAACTGTCAGTGTCCTCCAGAGTGGACTGGTAAGACATTATGTTTATCTATTGAGCAGTTGAATTATTTTACTTCCATTATCCGATTTGTGCCTTTGATGAATTTAAATTACACTATATGGTGGTAATAATTTTATATACATGCAGACAAATCTGTATGGATTTTGTCCGCTGGCTGCTTAAACACAATCAAAAAAACTGTGAAATGGATATCTTATTTAAAGTTAGGAACACTGGGAGAAAATCAAGTGTCTCTTTTTTTAAATTAAAGTTCAATAGAACGTCCTTCCAAGAGTGGGTCATATAATTTGTTTTTCCACCAGTCTACCTCAATTACATTAAAAGTTAAATCTAACCTTTTCACCATTATCATTTATTTCCCATCAACAGGTCAGCACTGCACAGAGGATGTGGACGAGTGTCGGCTGCAGCCAAATACTTGCCAGAACGGTGGCACTTGCAGCAACAAGATCGGGGGCTACGTCTGCGTGTGCGTCAACGGCTGGAGTGGTCTGGACTGCTCTGAGAACATCGATGACTGTGTGACAGCCGCATGCAGCTCAGGCTCCACCTGCATCGACCGTGTTGCTTCTTTTATCTGTGTCTGTCCCCACGGAAAGACAGGTGTGTTTCTGATGAGAGGACATATTTAAAGATCGAATGCAAAAGAGTGTTCTTTCACTTCACCTCAATACTGCTGTTTTTTTTCTTTCTTTATCTTGTTGAAAGAAGCATCTGGTATATTTGATGGAACAGATAAAAGCAATCAATTGTTACTGATTAAAAATGAGAGCTTATTACACTGCTGTCCAATTAGGCAAGTCCCTGTAGGAGATTTAGCAAAGTATGTTAACCTCTAGTAAAAGTATCACTGTAAAATGTCTAAAACATGAGTTAAATGCCTCTAGTGAAAACATAAAAGCATTATTTTATGCTATGCTGCCAATTTATTAAAAAATATCAACATCTAGAGCGTTTATGTATGACTTTGATAATGACCTACATTTGACCTAAAACACCTGTAAGGTTAAGTATTAGATCAATACTTGCTGTGCACAGCAACAGATGGGGCTGCATTAACAATCTGTTACTGTTTTTTGTCAGATTTGATGCTGGTAACCAGCCTATGCTGTTTCAATTTTGAAACTGGATGGAACTTCTCCTTACAAATAATGCAATGGGTTTCTTGCATATCTCCCATTAAATATTGTGTGTAATTCTATGTGTGAACACTCAGCACAGGCTGGAGTCTTAGCAGTGGTATCTTAAGTTTTCTTCACATTGTTATATATACTTTAAATTGGAATATTCTAACCAACATTTTTTTTTCTTTCTCAGGTTTGCTCTGCCACAGAGATGATGCATGTATCAGTAACCCCTGCAGAGAGGGTTCCCATTGTGACACCAACCCCATCACCGGGATGTTTAACTGCAACTGTCCACCAGGATATAAAGGCACCACCTGTAACGATGACAGAGATGAATGCAGCATTGGTGAGAGAGTGTCTTTAAATGTTTACACGTTAAGGTTTTTGTACTTTGTTTATTTTAATTTTTTCTAATTGTCTTCCTATTTTTCATCTTTAGGTCCAAACCCATGTGAGCATGGTGGTCAGTGTGTGAATACTGATGGCTCCTTCACCTGTAACTGTGTCAGAGGTTATTCTGGGCCAAGATGCGAACAAGATGTCAATGAATGTGCTTCAAACCCCTGCCTAAACGATGGCACATGTTTGGATCGGATTGGAGAATACTCCTGCATTTGCATGCCAGGTAAATTTCCGAAGAACCTTCTGAACTTTCTGATTTCTTAGGAAAAGCTGATTTCCTAAGAAATTTCTAAAAGAGACAACAAAGGGTCGCTTTTTTAAACTGCCAGTGTTTTTGTTTGTCCTCATTTTGCTTAGAAGGCATAAAGCAAACAAAACCGTAATTGAAACTTCTTTATATCCGAAAAATTAATGAAACCACACTCATTCTGTTATTCTGTTATTGATTTTTCTAGGGTTGGAGTGGTTTTTTGAGTAGAAAAAGGATGCGGTTCAGTTTTTTGGGTTTTTTGTCTCTTTTTTTTATGTCTTGATGTAAATTCACTAACAAAAAGCCTTGTTTGTGTTCTCTCTAAATACCCACAGGATTTGAGGGGACTCACTGTGAGATCAATGTCAACGAGTGTATGAGCTTCCCCTGTCTGAACCAGGGTAAATGTGTGGATGGGATCAGCCGTTTTGAATGCCTATGTCCAGCAGGTATGTGCAGCGCAAAGTTGCTTTACACATTTCTCTGACAAGTCATTTTAGAGTCTTTTAGAACTTCTTTATATTAGTAATTTCAGCTCGTTTTTAATCAAATATCAACAGGTTTCAGTGGAGATATGTGCCAAATAGACATAGATGAATGTTCCAGTACCCCCTGTTTAAATGGAGCCAAGTGTATCGACCGACCCAATGGATATGATTGTGAATGTGCAGAAGGTGAGGGCGAATAACACCAACCTCATGTTTGGCTTCAAATATAAGGAAAACTTCCTGAATTTCTCATGCCTTCCCGTTAAACCTCTCCTGTTATGACTTGAACAGGCTTTACAGGTGTGCTTTGTGAGCAGAACATTGATGAATGCGACCAAGGGCCTTGTCACTATGGTGTGTGTAAGGATGGCATTGCCACCTTCTCTTGTGAGTGCAACCCAGGGTACACTGGCTCCATCTGTAACATCCAAGTCGAGGAGTGTCACAGCAACCCCTGCCAAAACGGAGCGCGCTGTATCGACTTGGTTGATGCGTACCAGTGTAACTGTCCCCAAGGAACTTCTGGTAAGTTAACACAGCAAAAACATTTACTAAATGTCTTTTTTTATAGTGGAATGGATCCATATTTATGGAGAATCAAGTTTATATGCACATACAAGGAGTGTGACTTTGATTCTATTTAGCTCTCAATGAAGTGTTTCATAAAGTGGCCAAAAATTGTTCTTAGGACCTTCTGCTTCTATGTCCATCTATGATTTATGCATTTATCCTTTAAAATATACTTCAGCTTAGTGCCACACATGTGGTGGGACAGTAGAAGTAAAAATAGACATGTTCTGTGGTAGAGCTGCACAATATGATGGATTGCAGACGATGTTGCTCTATTGTTGTGTGCGTAGTTTGGTGAGTTATTATCTTTCAAGTAAAATTTATTGTGCTGGTTGGATGAGCCGATGATGCAAAAACCTGCTCTAAAGTTTGATGACAAAATAAATAAGTTTATGTTAACTTAGATATGTTGCAATTACTGAAAAGAAAATATTGATTTATTTAGAAACACTTTTGTTGTCACACTTATCAATAGTTCATTGGTTAGTTGGAAAAAGGGATCTGTAGAGATTTTGTTTTTTTTATTCTCTGCTTTTAAGAAAAAAATTAAATGCATACGATAATTTAAGGATCTATTGATTATCCAACTCTAATTGATAATTAATATGGGCAATTCATTTAGTTTTTAGTTCATAGAAAAGCATTTATTTTGTCTTGCCTCTGGTGTTTTAATTTAAGATATAGTATTCTAACCACCCTGTTCTTAATATGCTTGAAATTCTTTTTCTTTATCGTCAGGAACAAAATCCTTTACTCTTATTTTATTATTTTTTATTTTTTTGTAATGAGATTTGTAATGTCATCATCAATTCATTATGAAAAAGCTAATAAACATGACGGTCTCACATGACAGTCTCTACATTTTCATAATTTATAAGGCAGTATTTTTATCTACCAGGCATAAAAGATTTTGCTCTGGATTTAAGCAGATGTAGCTTTCTAGTCAAACATATGTACAAATTTGTTTAGAATTCCAGCTTAAAAAGTTTTTGGCATGAGCTTTCATTTCCCAGTGTGTGTATATGTATATATATATTTATATATATATATACACACATAAAAAGTATATTGTTGAAGAATGTGGAGTGTTTTAATTGTCCACGTGTTTCTTTCTGTTGCTTAAACCAGTGGTAGAGATATAAGAGCTACATAGCTATATAAATGACTGGGTCCAGTACCACCTTTAGGTCTGGTACCAAAGACTGAGTCTGTCTTTACTGAGCCTAATATCCGGACACCCTGTAAGGTTTCATGCTCCACTTCCTCTTCTGGGCCTCCCTTTTCTTTCTCTTTCCCATTTCTCTTCTCACTTCACCTTTAGTAAGCGTTCTAATAATGTTAACCCCTCCTGTTGTCTGCTTCAAGTCTGTCCTAGTTCTCCTTTTTATAAGGCCTTGCTGAAAGACCTTTACTTTGCGTTCCATGCCCCCTGGTGGTATGATCCAAACGAATAAAAATCCCCTCCCCACTGTATGGTCAATTTTTCCTCTAACTCCAGCGTTTATTTAGGACGCTCATCAGGCTAATCAATTTGATGTTTTTTTTTTTTGTCCAATTTCTAAAAGGGTTCTAAAAATGTGTAATATGTCGCTCAAAACAAGTTTGTTTGATTATTTGCTTTCCTTTACTCTACAGGTGTGAACTGTGAGATTAATGAGGATGACTGTGCCAGCAACCCGTGTAAAAACGGAGAGTGCCAAGATGGCATCAATGAGTACAAATGCGTGTGTTACCCTGGATACACGGGTATGTTTCTGCTCTGTCTGAGATTGATTCATGATTTATCTGGCCTATGTCAGACTGCAGGCTTAATGTGGCATATATCTGAATTACTCTTCAACAGGAGTTAATTGTGGTGTCAACATCGACGAGTGTAACTCAAACCCATGCATGAGTGGGGGAACCTGTGTGGACATGGTGAATGGGTTCCAGTGTCAGTGCCCACCCAACACCTATGGCCCCCTGTGCCTCTCAGGAACTGATCACTGCGCTTCCCAGCCTTGTGTTCATGGAGATTGCATCGAGCAGCAGCATGGGTAGGGCATGGAAATAATGATACATTAAAAAACAGAAGTATTGAAAAAGTTGTATTTGGTTCAGAATGCTGCAGCGAGGCTTTAACAAGAGCTAACCGAAGGGTCCAAAGTACACCAGATTGATCTGCTCTGAAATGGCTATCTGTTAAATTTAGAATAGATTTTAACATTTTAGTCTTGACTTTTAGAACTTTAACGGAACAAAAAAAACCCTCGTATTTAATATACATGTATTTTTCTTTCCCTCTGTAAAAACACTCATGATTTTTGTCCATTTAAGTGGAATTATTTTCTAACTTGCTCTATTATGCTTTTTTTTTATTACCTTTCAAATTAATAAATTACTCCTCACATTACGATATACTGGTTTGTGCATTTTTTTTTTATCAAATACTGCTCAAACAAGAATACATATTTGGAAAAATATGTTAAGTGTGTAGCTGTTAGAAAATGTTTGCAACATAAATTCCTTCAAATTTATCTTGCTTTTTTTTCATTATTATGACAGAAAGCAAAAGAAAGGTATTCTTTCCTTATTGATTAATTTGCTTATCCTTTTCTCAATGTATTGGCTGATTCATTCCAGTTGATATTTACTGTAAAAACCAGCATCAGCACTTGTTTTCATTTTATTTTGAAGATGAGTTCTTATCCCATTGTAATCACATTAAAGGAATAGTACACCCAAAACATGATTAGCCTTCATTTTCTACTCACCCCCATGCTGAACAACACTCTGGAGTACTTTTTTGATATCTCAAATGCATCTGGAGATCTGGGAGGCTTCTTGCTGTCTGCTGACATTCAAATAATGGAGGTCTATGGCGCCCGAGGCAGAAAGGTCCATAAAAGTCCACAAAAAACGTGTCAATATTCCTCCATACTGCTCGTCCAATGTATTCCAAGTGTCCTGAGTGGGTAGCATCCAGAATTTACTCAAAACGAAGTCATTTAGAATGTTTTTAGAGCATAAACAGTAGTGTATAGGATTTCCTGAAAGCGCGCACATGCGCGTTCACGACGCTACGGAAGCCGGCAGACCAAACCAGCGCATTCAGCTCGGCAAAGAACTCATGCTCTTCCTCAACACTGAAGTCCTCAGACATTTTTCTTTCGTTGTTTCTTTCTTTGCACAGGTAAACAGCACATTTCTTCTTCTACGCTTGCATTATTGGCAGAGCAGACGCTGAATGCGCACTTTCATCTGGTTGGTCTGCCGGCTTCCGTAGCGTCGTGAACGTGCGGGTGCGCGCTTTCAGGAAATCCTATACACTACTGTTTATGCTCTAAAAACATTCTAAATGACTTTGTTTCGGGTAAATTCTGGATGCTACCCACTCAGGAAACTTGGAATACATTGGACGAGCAGTATGGAGGAATATTGACACGTTTTTTGTGGACTTTTATGGACCTTTCTGTCTCGGGCACCATAGACCTCCATTATTTGAATGTCAGCAGACAGCAAGAAGCCTCCCAGATCTCCAGATGCATTTGAGATATCAAAAAAGTACTCCAGAGTGTTGTTCAGCATGGGGGTGAGTAGAAAATGAAGGCTAATCATGTTTTGGGTGTACTATTCCTTTAATAGCTATGATCAGCAGAATGAGCTCTCATTCTGAATGTTTGCTTGGCCTCTTATCCAGGTATCGCTGTGAGTGTAAGCCTGGTTGGACGGGGCAACACTGTGAGCAGGAAAAGAACGAGTGCCTACCCAATCCATGCTTAAATGGGGGCAGCTGCCAGGATAGACTAAATGGCTATACCTGTCATTGCAAACCAGGATTCAAAGGTAATACATACTGTGAACTATTACTTCCATGGAACTTGTTGATGTTTTTTCTCATTTATACCGTTTATTTTAAGGTATAGCATTTTTAAAAAGTATTTATGAAATGAAAACCCTCTAAGTAAATTAGACTTATCATAAAATCTGCTGGTGCACACTGCCCCTAATGGTGAATAACAGGAGATGTAGGAGATTGAAAGCTCAATTATATCTTCTCTTGTTAGGAGCCAACTGTGAAAAGAACATAGATGAGTGTGCATCAGGACCATGCCTGAACCATGGCATTTGTAGAGATGGAATCAACAGTTACACATGCCAGTGTATTCCACCGTTTACAGGTTAGTGAAGTTATTTACCCCAACATGTAAATCCCAGCTTTGTCAGATGCAAACAAGACAACTTGAGTGGTTGGTATTTCATAATATATGTGTTGTGTCAACATAGGGGCACACTGTGAAGTCGAGCAGGTTCCCTGTGCCTCACATCCCTGTGAGAGGGGAGGGACATGCAGCCCATCTGCAGATTATACTTCGTATACCTGCAGGTGTCGACCCGGCTGGCAAGGTACCCGTTTCAGACTGATGCTTGATATTATAACTTCAAAATTGAAGGCTGTGCTAACATAGTTTATCTGCACATAGGAAAACGCTGCAATGAAGATGTAAACGAATGCTTGAAAAACCCCTGCCAGAACAGTGGTCGCTGCATAAACACCCAGGGAAGCTACATGTGTAAATGTCAACATGGATACAGTGGACACAACTGTCAGATAAACATAGACGACTGTTTACCAAGTGAGATGGACTAAAGCTTTTTTGTATGATTTCTTATAAGATATTTAGAGATTAAGTGAATTCTAATGGTTTTTAAATGGCTCTTTAGACCCATGTCTGAATGGAGGCTCCTGTGTGGACAAAGTGGCCAGTTTCTCCTGCAACTGCCGTGCGGGTTTTGAAGGCGATCGCTGTGAGATTGATGTGAATGAGTGTGCCAGCCAGCCCTGCAGGAATGAAGGCGTCTGTAGGGACTATGTGAACAGCTTTGTGTGCGATTGCCCTCCAGGCTTTAATGGAATCCAGTGTGAAAACAACATTCAGGAATGCACTGAGAGGTGAGCCACTCGATAAACTTTGTAGCCATATGATCGATGTGTTCCTTCACAGATTTTCTATTGAGTTCATGTTATTGTAACCTAATATGTTTTTTTTTTCCTCCTTTAGCTCCTGTCTTAATAATGGCGAATGCATCGATGACATTAACACCTATTCTTGCCGTTGCCGGCCTGGTTTTTTCGGGAGGTTCTGTGAGTTTGAGAAGAACGAATGCGACTCTCAGCCCTGTCAGAACGGCGGCACCTGCACAGATGGCCTGGGGACTTACCGCTGCACATGTCCAGTGGGATACAGTGGACCCAACTGTCAGGTAAAGAAGATTTGTTCCTTCAATTAACAAGCTGCAACGACTTCATCTTCAGGGTTAAAAAAATAACAAAAAAAGTATTGCAGTGATGGCTATAGTGCATTACAAGATACATCTGATTAGCTGTCTGTTTGGATGGTGAATCAGCTCATATTTTATTCAGTTAGAGAGGGGAGATTAGTGTTTCCAAAGGTTTTGGGTGGGTGTTCATGGTGTAACGCTTTCATTCAAAAATACTTTTTGTTTTTATTTGCAGAACTATGTGAACCTGTGCAACCAGGTTAAATGTAAGAACGGTGGAACCTGCTCTCAGACAGTCACCTCCTGGACCTGCCACTGCCAGATGGGCTGGACAGGACTTTACTGTGATGTCCCCAACATGTCCTGTCAGGACTATGCTGCCAGGAACGGTGAGGGGTCAATTTATAGCCCTAATAATCATGAATAGTTTTATCTGCAAACTACCTTTACCCGCCTTCCATGTTGTTGGTTGTCAGAGGGCCCAGTGGCCCTGTCTGTCTGCCCCAGGTCAGCTGTGGCTGAGATGTAGCTTACCACTAACAGTGTGAATTGGTGAATAACTGAATCGTGTGGCCATTGGTAAATGACTGCTAACTGAGTTGTCATTTAATAATTATCTGTTTTCTGCTGATGTTTCTGCTTCCTGTAGGTTTGGAAGTGGAACATGTGTGTAAGAATGCAGGTCACTGTGTCAACGTGGGGAATTCCCATCAGTGCAAGTGTCAGTCAGGATACACGGGCAGCTACTGTGAGGAGATGGTGGACGAGTGCCAGTCAAACCCCTGTCGAAACGGCGCTACATGCAAGGATTACCAGGGCACATATGAATGTGTAGTAAGTACATTCTGAGGTTAATTTCATTACTTGTGTCTAAAAATGGAACAAACACGGTTAGGAAACAGATAAAAACCTAAGTCTCTTGTTTCATTGTGTCCAGTGTAAACCAGGTTACCAAGGAGTGAACTGTGAGTATGACGTTGATGAATGCCACGCCAAGCCCTGCCTCAACGGAGGAACATGCGTCAACCTTATCAACCACTTTACCTGCATCTGCCCACCTGGGACACGTGGTATGTCTAGATACCACATTGGTGAATGGATTTTAAACGTTTCAACATTACCTTTTAAAGAATAGATTAACTTTAAAAGGAAATACTTGTGTACAGTCTGTAAAGACTGTATAAGAGAACATTTTTGCTTTTTACTGTGTTGCTTATTTGTTTTGGTTAGCAAACCGTCAGAATTAAGAAACCTGAGGCTTTAACTGAATTATAACAACTTTGTTTGGCCTGAAACAAGTAAACTGCATGTAAAATGCTCTTAAAGAAAGGCTTTATTTGATGCACTTGTTAATTAAGATCTTATCACTGTTCTGCAGGACTGCAGTGTGAGGTGAATGAGGATGACTGCGCTCCCAGTCCAGGCTCATCTGAACCGCGCTGCAGAAATGGAGGGCAATGCATCGATGGCGTAGGCCGCTACACCTGCTCCTGTCCTCCAGGGTTTGTTGGAGAGCACTGTGAGGGTGATGTCAACGAATGCCTGTCCGGACCCTGCCATAGTCCTGGCAGCCTCGACTGCATCGAACTGGTCAATGATTACCAGTGCAACTGTCGCCTTGGTTACACAGGTACTTCCATATTACTTGCTCAGATTTGAGGAACATAAGCACCACTGCCTGCTACTATCTGTGGAAGAACATCATGCAAGACGTCATTGATCTTTCCATAACCTTCTGACTGTTTCTGCTCTTCTTTTTTCCATTAGGTCGTCATTGTGAATCCATGGTGGATCTGTGTGTGTCGAAACCATGTCGAAACGGTGGCACCTGCTCCATGAACATGAGTTCAGTGCATGGCTACACCTGTTCTTGTCTCCCTGTAAGTCATTGTTTTTTTTCTACAACATATTTAAATAACACTCATTTTTCAATGCTTTTACTGTAATTTTATTTTTTTGATTGTGTACATGTGCCATGTAGCTTTCTTTCTTGGGGTTAACGTGATGCAAATATGATAAGCAACCCAGTGTAACGAGAAAGGATAGAATTATTCCCCCCTAATGGCTTCTGATGTTATTTCTGCTTTACATTCCTCAATAATTCTAGCTATTGCATTCCTTTGTCTGTTGCATTGAGAAGAGGCTGAGATTTGGTTGTCAGCTGTTTTATTTCCTTCTGCCACAGTTTTCAGTCCCTCTTTACTAACTGCTTCCTTTCCTACCCTAACTTCTTGCTAATTCTGTTTCCATGCTTGCCTCAGAGGGCTAAACCATCGCTCAGGTAAAGTAGAAACTCATTTCTAGGACTAACTAGTGGCACTGATTATAAAAATTAATTTAAAAACACAGTATTCAAGCGCCATTTAGTTGTTTTAATCTATTAGGAGGTGAAACTAAATATTTTAGATGTTATATATTGTTAAACATAGTTACCTGTTGAATTTCAATGTGATAACTCAACAGGAACTCTTGTGTTTTATAGGGTTATTCTGGATTCAGCTGCGGTGAAACACAGAATTTTAACTGCGCAAGGAGTTGCCAAAATGGCGGACGCTGCATGAAGGCACCAACAGGAAACTTGTACTGCCATTGCCAGTCAGGGTTCAGTGGGGATCACTGTGAGAAGTGCTCTGTGCCCTGTCAGAATGGAGGAGTCTGTGTCAAAGATTCATTCCACCCATTTCAGCCCATCTGCCGCTGTCCAGAGAATTTCTTCGGGAAATTCTGTGAGAAAAGAGCCCCTATGTCAGGGCCCCCAGAATGCCCATATGAGCAGTGTAAGCTGCAGTCTGGAGATAAAGTCTGTGATGAGAAGTGCAACAATCATGAATGCCAGTGGGACGGAGGTGACTGCTCACTCAACTGGCCGCAACCATGGGCCAACTGCACAGCCAGCATTCCCTGCTGGGATCGCTTCAATAACGGACGTTGTGATCCTGAATGTGACAACCCTGGGTGCCTCTTTGACAACTATGAATGCAGGGATACCCAAACAGACCCCTGCAAGTATGTCACACTCATTGCTCTGTTGAAAAAGATTTATACAAAGCACCAACATGATTTAAAGTTACATAAAATATCATGTCATGTTTTTAAGGTATGATGTCTACTGCAAAGACCACTATGGAAACGGTTTCTGTGATGAAAGCTGCAATACAGAGGCCTGTGGCTGGGACGGACTGGACTGTTCTGATGGTGTACCAGCCGATCTAGCAGCTGGCACGCTCATCCTCGTGGTTCGACTGCAGCCAAATGAGCTGCTTGGAGACTTGAGAGGTTTCTTGCGCTACCTGGGAGCTCTGCTCCATACTAATGTGCGAGTGAAGATGAATAATAATGAACCAATGGTGTTCCCTTATTACGGAGATGATGACCAGCAGAAAAAAAGTGGTCTAAGGAGCAGAACCAAGAGAGAGATGGAGAGAGAGGTCATTGGGTAAGAACGGCTCCTTCCTTCCTTCCTTCCTTCCTTCCTTCCTTCCTTCCTTCCTTCCTTCCTTCCTTCCTTCCTTCCTTCCTTCCTTCCACCTACTTATTCTTTTATCATTCATATTTAAATCTTGATCACTGTCAGGATATCTGCTATAGATGCTTATCTTTATGCTATCAATTAATTAAAAGTTGAGTCTGGAAACCCTGTAGTCATTTTATGGGAGCCCCAACTATCCTTACAGCTCCTAACTGGGCATGTGAATGAAGTAATGAATCATTGCCTGGCTTGTTATTAACTGGTTTTGTGTTTTGAAACAGCTCTGAGGTCCACCTGGAGATTGATAACCGTAAATGCACCAAGATCGCATCTGAGTGCTTCTTCAACACTTCTACTGCTGCCTCCTTCATTGCAGCGGTTCACATCAAATCCGACCTGCCATACCCACTGGTGTCTGTTAGAAGTAAGCAGATTATCATGGCATATTCTGTTTTGTTTAGCAGAGTGTAATTTTGAAAGATATCATTAGCATAAACCGGAAGTTCAATATTCACACAGATATGATTATCCAGATGAAAATACACCCTCATTTGTTTTTCTCTCAAACAGGTGATCCAACAGTGGGGGAGAAGTCAATGTATCCGTACTTTATTGGAGTTGCTGTATTCCTCATTCTTCTTATTCTATTGCTGGGGGTGCTGGCAGCTAAGAAGAAACATAAACATGGGGTCCTGTGGCTGCCTGATGGCTTCTCAGCCACTAAAAACGATAAGAGGAGAGAGCCTGTTGGACAGGACGACTTTGACATGAAGTGAGTGAACATACACGCTGATAGAGTGGAAGAAACAAGTGAAACCCAACAGATGAAAATCCTGTAGAAGCCTGAAATGTGTTACAGTGGTGTTTTCTACTCATGGTAGGAACTTTAAGACACATGATGGGAGCTTGGTTGATGGAGGTCAGAGACAGAAATGGCTTGAAGATGAAGCGCCATCCAAAAAACCAAGAGTAAGTGGATGATAACTCGCATGTAACGGTTTGCAGCATAAAAAATGTGAGTTTTGATTTGAGCTTTATTTGTTTTTAGACTGAAGACAAACCTCTGCTTCCCATCCCGATGGATGGAGGAGTCGACCATAGAGAGTGGACTCTGCAGCACCGTAAAGCTGCTGACATCACTCTCACCCCACCACAGGCCGACTTGGATGCCGACTGTCTGGATGTTAACGTCAAAGGACCTGGTGAGACAGCTTTTTTTTTCTTAAGCATGAATATAATTTTTTTATCTGCAAGTTCAGACATGTTTATTTCTTTTATTTCCCCCTCTTCAGATGGCTTCACCCCTCTGATGGTGGCAGCCCTGCGCAACGGCGGAGGCCCTGACTGCAGCCTGCATGGCGAAGAGGAAGACGAGAGTGGAGGAGACGAACCTGGGCCCAGCGTTATTTCAGATCTCATCGGTCAGGGAGCAAATACGACGGCCAAGACTGACCGCACAGGGGAAACTGCTCTTCACCTGGCTGCCCGCTACGCCCGGGCTGACGCAGCTAAGAGGTTGCTGGATGCTGGAGCAGATCCCAACGCTCAAGACAACATGGGCAGGACTCCACTTCACGCTGCTGTGGCAGCTGACGCACAAGGAGTATTTCAGGTAACTCTGCTTTCATAATCCTAATGTAGTTTGAATAATGTTTTATGGGATAGAGCAACAAATAGCAGTTTATATTACGTAAAGATTGATGTCAAGTTTTTCGCTATTTTACGAATCAAATTTAAAAACTTGTTTTTTATTTAGATTATATGTCAACACCAAACACTTTTTACGAAGTAACATCTGAAAATATTTTTTTTTGCTCATGTCTTTTCTTTGTGTTTTCCTAGATTCTGATCCGAAACCGTGCTACGGATTTAGATGCCAGGATGAACGACGGTACGAGTCCCCTGATCCTGGCAGCAAGGCTGGCTGTGGAGGGCATGGTAGAAGAGCTGATCCACTGCCACGCTGACATCAACGCTGTAGATGATCATGGTATGAGAACATTAGACTTGATCTGTGACTTTCTAAGGGTCTTTGTCTGGATGATTTAATGTTAGCATGACAAGTTTTAAAGAAATAAAGAACATTTTTATCTGATGTCCGAACTCACTAACACAACGTTTTGATTCCCCCACCGTTAAGGTAAGTCTGCATTGCACTGGGCAGCTGCAGTCAATAATGTGGAGGCTACCCTTGTGCTTCTGAAAAATGGTGCCAACCGCGACATGCAAGACAATAAGGTTTGTTATTCAGCATTTTTTTTGTTTTGTTTTTCCTTTAGTTGACTTAAGAGCTGCAACTAAAATGGATGATTTGAAAATAGGCATAAAATCTGCAAATAAATGCTTTTTGTAAGGCTGATCAGCAGAAAGCTATTTTCTGTCATTCTGTTAGTAAATGAGCATTGCACATTTTTTAATAGAGAATATCAAAGAGTGTTTCTTTTGTTTTATTTAAATGCCTGATGTTTTTTGATGCATTTGTTTCAGGAGGAGACGCCCTTATTTCTTGCAGCACGAGAAGGCAGCTTTGAGGCAGCTCAGGTTCTTCTTGATCACTACTCCAACCGTGATATCACAGATCACCTGGACAGACTCCCGCGTGATACTGCTCAAGAGCGAATGCATCATGACATCGTCCGTCTGCTGGACCAGTACAATCTGGTTCACAGTCCACACAATGGGCATAACCACATGGGTGGAGGGGGAAACTCCTCTGTTATGTGTGGGGCTAATGGAGCAGGCTTCATCGGTATGAGGTCTGGACCACAAGGCAAGAAGAGCAGAAGGGGAGCCGGGGCGAAGGCTGGAGGTGTAGGTGGGGGACCAAAGGAGATCAAGGACATGAAAGCCAAGAGACGGAAGAAGCCTGCTGGAGGAGAAGGCCCGGGTTTGGCTGCTACAGGAGGAGGCAGCGGAGGAGGCGCTGGTGGAGGGAGCAGCAATGGAGTAAAGGCAGCAGGAGGACTTTCAGAGAGCTCTGTCACCATGTCACCCGTTGACTCCCTGGAGTCCCCTCACTCCTACACTGGGGAGGTGTCTGCTGCTGTCTCAAACACCGCTAATTCCCCTCCTCTCCTGAGCAGTCCCACCTCCAGAGCGATGCTGCCCCCTGTCAGCCACATGCTGGGACAGCAGCAAAACTGGATGGGCATGGCCAAGCAAGCCTACAACGGCCCCATGTTTGGTCTCCTCCAGCACCCGATGAGAGGAGCACACCCCGGCATGAGCCACGGCCAGAGCACCATGATGACTCCCATGAACGTCACCATGAGCAGGGAGCAGCTGCCCCCCATCGTCACTTTCCAGATGATGACCACGGGAAGCAGCCAGGCCATGCTAAAGCAGTCTCAGTCGGGACAGGTACAAGTCACACAGGCCCAGGGGCAGAACCAGAATCCATGTCACACTCAGCAGGTACCGGGCCATGTCCACTGCAACCCTGGAATGATTTACCCAAATCAGATGGGTCTGGGGCAAGGTCCATCCCACCCCCTGCATCCTCCCCACACCATCAACCCTGCTGGAGGAATGGAGGGCCAGTCTCGACCGCTGCCCCCCTATGTGCCCATCCAGAGCCCTGTGGATAAATACCCAACACCCCCCTCCCAACACAGCCCTCCCAACGGCTCGGAAGGCACCACTCCAGGTCACTCTGCCCACCCACAAAACGAGCATCCGTATCTCACCCCTTCCCCCGAATCACCAGACCCCTGGTCCTCCTCCTCGCCTCACTCTAACTCGGACTGGTCCGACGTCACCACCAGCCCCACCCCACTGGGGAACTCCCACCATGCACTGCAGGCTACACGCCACACACACATTCCAGAGCAGGGCCAGATGCAGCCGCCGTCGCAGCAGATGCAGCCGCCCGCTCAGCAGCCTCAGCTTGGAAACATGCAGGTGTTCGCATGAAGCAGCCAGAGGAAAGCAGAGACAGACTGACTCTTTGGTTCAGCAAAAAAAAAAAAAACACAAGTGCCTTTCTATAAATTCATAATCAGCCCCCTCCCCTTTTATTCCTCCTTCCAGTTACAGTGTATAGTTTTATAATGTTACTCGGTAATTTGAAAAATCTTTTCTGTACTTTTACATTAATCATCCAAGACCTTTGCTCTTCATTTGGAATCAAATTTGCACAATAATAACCACTGCTACGCCATCCAGGGGCATCACAGATTGATGCTGTGATTTCTGAGCGATCACAGAGAAAACTCCACCACATAGAGCTCATCTCTTGTTGCATCAGAAAAATAAGACTGTTAATGGGACGCTCTCTACACTGACACTCTATTCTCAGAAAAGTTTGTTAAATCTGTTCGCTAGATATGACCCTTATATGTTCAGTGTTTTAAAAACTGCGGTACTAACTCCTAGCTGATACAGCTCACTAAATGTTTTAATTTAAGAAGTTTCAATCAGTTAAACTATTGCTTGGTCCTGTGGGTTTTTTAATTTTTTTATGTAGGGCTACTTTCAACAAAAGTTCTTAAACTTTTGAAAAGTAAGAAACGTAAATGATGCAGTTTGATGTTTTACTGGTTTTGCATTTCCTTTTAGTTCCAGTTCCTTGATCAAATCTGGAACTTCTTTAATTTGTGTTTTACATGCAAACATCAACTTAAACTGTTTGTTTTATCCGTTTTCATGCTTTGAGTAGTAGCGAGGGATTTATTCTGTTGCTTTGGTTGTGTCAGTTTTTACCATTGTTGTCTCCAGGTTTAATATGCTGTAAGAAAGAAAATGTATATATATATATATATATATATATATACACACTTAAAGCAGTTTCTGCTTGTTTTAGTAGAGCTAAATGTTGTTTAGCCTTCTTAAAGTTCCCTTTTTTATATATATAAATATCTGCACTTCCTGAATGATTTTGAATGTTACAAAGCCGCATGTTTTTTACCGTTAAACTGCCTCCTCCTCTTTTTGCAGCAGCTGTCTTCCATAAATCTTCATTATAATGAATTTTCTTTTGTCCTGATCAGCATATGTCATGATTTATAACCAAGTCTGAACATGAGCAGTGAAAGATGGGTTCTTCTCTAGTTTTCCTCTGTCTCAAAGCAAATGTTATGTATTGATTCTCTTCTTTATTCACAGACCATAATGCATTTTTTTTTTAATGTTGAGGATTTAAAAGAAAAGGAGTGAGAGAGCAATTTTTCATTTATTAAGCCAAAAAACGCTCTGTGCGTACATGATGTATTTGTTGCTTGTCTTGGATTTGATCAAAAGTTAGAGACGTTGGGGGAATACATCCAGCACCAACCAAAGTGTTGAATCACAGTCGGGGAGGACAAGCCAATCAATATTCCTGACCTTTGCTTTTGTACACAGCGTCCCTTTAGTTTAATAACCCATGTACTGTACATGTCAGTCTACACTCATAGTTAGAACAATCTGGTACATATAAAAAGCTGTTTCTGTTTTCTGTATATAAAATGTACTTTGTTTACCATTTTTCTATGTTATCCAATTAGCCTATATTATCCGTAGAGTATGAAGTAGTTGTCATCATATTTGTATAAGGTAGAGCTAATGTCGATTGAGGAGATGATCTTTGGTGAAAAAAACAAAACAATAATAAACCAAATATGTTTACGTAAATGAAGCCCTGATCATGTGTCCACGTTTTTCTTATTCTTGTTGGTATATTTTAACGTTTTATCACACCTCAGCGGTTATATAGTCAATTGTTACATTTCCACATTTTGTAACACTTAACAGTTTTACCAGGTTTTTATGTGACAAACCAAAAGTAACACAAAATTATTATACTGAAAGGAAAACATGCAAAAACAACATTTGCTGTTCCCTTTTATAAATTTAGTAAAAACTCAATGTTCTTTTAAAAGCTCTTCAGATTTCTTTTGATTTTCTTTGTTTCAGATAATCAGACAAAAATAACTTTAATACTAAATGTAGGTTACAAATGAACATTTCATGTATTTAGAAGAAATGTTTCACACCTAGCCCAGCCTCTGCCAAGGAAGCTGTTTTCAAATTTTCAGAGAAGGTGCATTTCTGTGACTGGCATCATTTTGGTGAGGATGTTGATCAGCATCTCGATCCAGATTCTAAGAATACAGGAGGAAGTCACAATATGTTGAGGGAAATGAGCTTCTTGGTGGAGGTCTGAGCTCTCAAAGTGCTTCTCTAGTTAGGAACTGTGGAACCACATTTATGGGGAAAATGGGCTCAAGATCAACATGATCCGATTACTTCTTGCTCAGAACGACAGAGTGCCGTCATCCTTAAATAAATAAAAGACAAAAAAATAATAATCAGAAAATGGATGAATTGTGTATTTTATTTTTTAAATATATTTCTTTAATATAAAGCCTCACAATAAGACTTTAAGGTAACGCTGCCCACATCAGGGAAACTGATAGGACAAACGGGGAACACTTTGGGAAGGAGTGCATCCTTTTATTTTTGAAACAGAACTCAACATTTCAGGAAAATAATATTATATATAATCTCGAACTGCTTCCAGGGACGTGTTGCTGCCTGCTTAGCAATTGTGAAGGGGGGTCATCTGGCCTTCAGTTCATGACTTTCAAGCGTAAACAAACTTGGGTAATACTTCATGATTATTATCCAAAGTACACCAGCATGTCCACATCTAAGGCTCAAATAAAAAGAAGTAGAATACAGGTTTTTAAATGGCCACATCAAAGTTTAACTTACATGCTGTTGCATGGCATTAAACGGACGTTTATATTTCAAAAATTCAAATCAAAATCTAGCATGTTTTTAAAAATCAAGTTCAATGCCACTTAATATTTAGGCCTGCGGTTTGTCCTCTGGCCAGCAGGTGGCGCAAGGTGCCGCAGTCAACCTCCAAAGAAAAAACAAGGAAGAGATGTGAACAAGGAAGTGATCCAGGACCTTCGGAGGCATGAGATAGATTCCTTCTCCGGAGTTGTTATCTTTTGTTTGCATATGTTAATCTCAAACTGTAGTTGAAAGGTTATGGCTGTAAGAGTCCTTAGAATCAGTACGGAAAGCCGGATGGACATACGGCGTTAAGGTGACGGGTGGTTGAGGAGTTGCTGTTTTGACAGCTGGGTTTTAATCCACTGTCCAAGCTACAGAGGGGTCCGCTGGATCCTGAGAGGAACCTGCGGGGCTGTTTTCAGACAAAAGGTGAGATCGTTTCCCATCTCCACTTTTCTCACCCCTTTTTCTGGTCCTTCACGTCAAACTGGATTCTTTACTGCCTCGCTTTCCCTCCCCGTGTCTGTAGGTTCCACCGCCTGGCAGCCATGGCTTCAGCCCGGCTGAAGTACCTCTCCCTGGGCGTGCTGGTGTTCCAGACCACCTCTCTGGTGCTCACCATGCGGTACTCCCGCACCCTGCAGGCCGAGGGCCCGCGGTACCTGGCCTCTTCAGCCGTGGTGGTGGCTGAGGTCATGAAGATCCTGACCTGCGTGCTGCTGGTTTTCAA